GGAGAGAGAGAGAGAGACAGGCAAAGACAGACACAGAGAGAGAGACATACAGAGAGACAGAGGCAGAGACAGAGGCAGAAACAGAGACAGACACAGAGAGACAGAGAGATACAGAGAGAGGCAGAAACAGAGACAGAGACAGAGAAAGACAGACAGAGACAAAGAGGCAGAAAGAGGGACAGAGAGACAGAGAGACAAACAGAGAGAGGGACAGAGAGACAGAGAGAGACTGAAATAGAGACAGAGACAGAGAGACAGAGAGAGAAAGAGACAAAAACAGAGACAGAGAGACAGAGACACACAGAAAGAGAGAGACGGAAGAAAGAAGAGAGATGGTTCTGAGGGCAGGGCCCAGTTGGGGTGCAGACCCAGGAGAGAGACAGGTCTGAAGTTCCAGGGAAGCTGAGCCGGTGACGGGGGCTGGAGTCAGTCCTCTGCCATGGGTGGTGGTTCACAGTGGGGATAACTGAACTTGAGGATGACTTCCCCACAGTGGCAATCTGGCTGCAAGGGAGGTTATCAGGCAAAGCCCAAAGCTGCTAAGCAGGCTGGGATAGGGAGTTGGGTTTTTGCTTAAGCCTGGTTAGAGTTTTTAGGGTTGGGGTTGGGGTTGAAGTTAGGGTTGGGGTTAGGGTTGAGGTTATGGCTAGGGTTAAGATTGGGGTTGTGGTTAGGGTTGGGGTTGGGATTGGGATTAGGGTTGAAGGGACATAGGGAGCAGAGTGAGCCTGCTGTTAGGATGGGGTCTTGGTAATTGTACCCCACTGTGCGAACTGGGGTTCCCATAGTGGTGGAGGGATAGGGAAGACTTTCCCTTACCTTTCACCCAGCCCACCCCTGAGCCCTTAGGTAGTGGCCAGGAAAGTAGTAGACTTAACTATGCTCCTTCCAGTAGGGTTCAATTTGGAGTGCACAGAGAGGGGGTACCTGTCTGGTGCCCCCACAGCAGAAGAAAGGAGAAGTACCCTGAGAAAGGATGGACTTGCCTTGGACATTGGGTTCACCTAGTGTCTCCCTGGTTCTCCTGGGCCTCAGTTTCTCCACCCTCACAAGGAACGGCCATTGCAGCTCTGAGGCTCTATCCCATAAAGAATGGCCTCAGGACCACCCTGCAGCTCCTGTCTCTGAGGCTGCCTCAGTCCCAGCCAAGGGTGTTGTCCGGCCTCTTCCCAGGGCAAATGGCCTAATAAATGCTACCTTGGGCCTGTGAACATAGGCCACAAGCTTTGAGCCAGAGGCGAATGTGGGAAGGCCCCTTGGGCTGGAAACAGACCAAGAGACATGGGAGGCCCCAGAAGACTTCAATCATCACCTGCAGCAACGAGGGGCTCCTAGTTGGCCAAGGCCAGGGATCAGAAGCGGCCCCACGTGCCCTCCCACCCTTCCTGGCTCAGGCCTCCTGATATCCACAGCCTCACAGCCCTCCTCCCTGTGCCTAGCCCTTGAGTGCCCCCCCAGCATGGCTCTTTTATCTGTCTTTGATCCCCATCCTCAGCAAGAGGCAAAGATTTACTGTTCCCCTTCTGAAAGGAAGCCCTACGGGTAGGACCTGCATCAGGGAAGCCTGAGCGGGCACGTCCCTGACTGCTGCAGCTTCTGAGCCTCCAGAGGTGGCAGAGGCTCCCTGAGGTGGACGCTGCAGTGCTTGGGTTGAGCAAAGCCCATCATGCAGGGTCTGCAAGATGAGGCCTCAGCACTCCCCCAGCTCTCTTACCCCAGGCCCAGTCCTGTTCCAAAGTTCAGGGAAAGCACAACCTCATTCCATACCTCAGTTTCCCCATCCTGCGGTGAGATGAACCTGAACAGTGGCATCTGACTGGGCAGACAGTCGGGGTGGTGACGGGATGTGGAGGTGTGGGGCAGGCTCTTGGGCTCCAGGTTATGGCCCCGTGTGTCCTTCTGCCTCTTTCCTTGGTAACAGACTTGGAGCTGTCCCACTCGCTGGTACTTGGACTGCCCGCCCGTTCCAAGGAAGGGCGCCTTAGGCACAGCCTCGACTTTCCTTGGGTTGCTGTGTGTGCGCAGGGTGCTGTCTCTGCTCCCTGGCTTCTCCTCTCCTGCCTCTGAGCAGTACTTTTGTTATTTTCTTTTAAAAGGGAGGAAAGTAAGGAGGAGGCAGTCTTTTATCCAGTGCACGCCCTGGCCCATGAGGAGGGTGATGACATTTCCTGGTGGCAGGTGGCCCTCCCCGCTGCTCCATCTGTGTCCTGCCCCCAGACCTGCTCTCTGTGCCCTGCAGGTTCTATTCTGTCCTTGGCAGGTGTGGTAAGGGCTGCAATTTGGCCAGGAGCCCAGCAGGTGCCTCTTTGCCCTCACTGGGCTTGGCAGGCACCACCCATGATGCCCTTGCTGTCCTGCCCCGGCCCCTCCAAGCACAGCAATCCTATCTGAGAGGTCAGAGGAGACTGACAAGCACCCGCATGTGACTGCTGGAGCTGCGATGGTCTAGCCAGGCAGGCTGCATCCAGCCATCTCAGCCCCAGTCCAGAGATTGAGCTGAGGATGTCTGCAGGAATGAGGAAAGCCTGGAGTCTGCGGACAGCCTGACAGCCCACTGGAAGGCTGTGGGCGGCCCTGAGACTTCCTTACTGGAAAAATTTCTCCTGTAGGTGCCAACTTTAGCCCCTGCCTAGGGTTCCAGCTGGCTGGAAGACTTCATGCTGGCTGCAAAAACCCTTCCTTGTCACTGTCTCTCTCCTCTGAGTCCTGCTTCCCATCAAATGCTGACAAACTTCAGGCCATCTCTCCCCCACCTTTGGAAAACCAGCACCCTCTCCAAAGGCAGGTGAGGCTGGCCTCCCACAGGGGTAGAAATTCTCTCCTTGCCAAGTTCTTGGCCTGCTCATGGGTAGTGCCAGGAATGGTTGGCAAATGAGGAAAAGTAGGTGTAGAGAGGCCAATGCCAATGTCCCACGTCCAGGGCTGGCCAGGGTCCTTCTCCTGCATTGATCATGTCACCCTGGCCGCAGGGCCCAAGCAGGCTATGTTGGCAGTGCCTACCTGGCACAGGCCCTCCTGCCCACTCAAAGAGACAGTAACTGGCTTCTACCCCTCTGCCTCAGGGTGGGAGCCATGCGGGGTAAGGGTCAAGCCAGGTTTCTGCGTGTGGAGCCTGTGGGCCTTTCCATGCCAAGGATCTGGGACGCCCAACTGAGCCCCCTTTCTGTACTCATGGAGACTCCACAGCCACCTCAGGTTAGGAGGCCTCCCCCACATCTGCTCCCCTCAGCCTGTACCCTTAGAGAAACAGCACAAACACTCTGAGAAGTTTCAGGGTTTTATTAACAAAATCTTATAAAAAGAGCCTGTCTTCAAGGGTAGGTGGAAGGGGTACATATCCTGGCTGAGAACGCATGGCCTGGTCTGGAAAGGGACAGTCATACCCTCGTGAGGTGCCCAGGGTCTTCCCAGGTCCCAGGGCCTCCAAGTGGCTGGTGCTGGCCAATGAGGAAGAGTTATGGCTTATGTGCTGAAAATAAAATCTGTGGGGGCTGGCCGGGGCACAGGCTGGAGCGCAGAGCTGGCCCCCAGAATCTGGAATGCAGTGGGCAAGGCAGAAAGAGAAACCTCCAACCAGGGCCTGCTTGGACTGCAGGCACCAAGGGCTCCCAGCACCGGGAAGCAGGTGCTGGGCAGTGACAAGGGTCCATCCTAGGCAACAGCAGAGCAGGATGGAGAGCTAGGACACCCAGAAACAGAGGTCTGGGGCTCTCCCAGAGCTGGGTTGGTGGCCACTGGGCAGGAGCAGCAGCTGGGGGCCTGGCCTCAGAGCTCCTGAAAGGCTCTGGCAGCAGACAATGGGCATGCAGCGAGCAGGGGGTGCCAGGGTAGTGGACCCCCGCTCCAGCTGCAGTGGCTCCGGGAATAGGCAGCTGGTGGCCAGCGGGGCAGGCATAGTGGCAGGCCCTGGCCCTCACGCTGGCCTGGCTTCGTCACCAGCTCTTGGGTTGAGCTGGGGTGCTGCCCTCTGCCAGGCCGCTTTTTTACGACAGCTGCCCTCTCTCAGCTGTCCTGGGACTTGTGTGCAGGCTGCTCGGAGAAGGGAGGAGAGGGTGTGAGGTATGACAGCAAACTCCTGAAGACAGCCTTGAGACCTGAGGGAAAGAGGAAAAGGTCGCTGTAAGCGACAGTGCCTGCAGACCACGCGGGCTCACAAGAAGGACAGGGGTAGACGACAGATGGGCTGGCACTCTGGGACCCAAGCAGAGCCTCAGATTGTCCAGAGGGCTAGGACAGGTGAGGGATGTGCTTGGGCAGGAGGGACAGGACTCCCCTTACCTGTTGTCATTCTCCTGGCTCCAAAGGTGCCGGCTGCTGCCTCAGCCGGATTTGAGGATTCAGTTTCTCTGGGACCCTCTGCCTGCTGAGGGTGAGTCACCAAACTGAGTTCTGATTCTTCCCCAGGCTGGTGTGAATCACTGTGCTGGGATAAGAAAGAACAAGGTCCGTGTGAGCTGGCTCTGCAGGCTCCCCCAGCACTGCCTCCCACCTGGCCCTGGTCTTGGTCCCTAGGGACTCTGTACCCACACCCCTTCCCTGCAGCTAATTTGCTGGGAAAACCTCTGAGCCTTGGTAGGTTTATCTGGAAAAAGGACTTTTGCCATGGACCCTAACAATTCTAAGATGCCCTGGGGGCAGGGGCTCACCTGGGGGCCAGGAGGCACCAGGATGTCAGGTCTGCTGCTGCTGCTGTTGCATCTGCAATTTGGGCTTTCCCTGGGAATGGGAAGCCATGCTGCTCAAGGCTGGCCAACTGTTCTGGGGGGCGAGGAAGGTGTCCATGGGCTCTGCTGTGCTTGCCAGGGATGCTGTCTCCAGAGGTGAGGTTCCTTTGGCACTGGTTCTACTTTAGCTTCTGCCCTGGGGTGCCCCAGGGGCTGGGATCCCACTGGACCCCGTCTTCCGACACTTTGTTTTTTTGAATGCTGAGAGGGCCCAGGCATTGGAGCAGAATGAGGAAGGTGAGGATGGTCTGTGATGGCCTGAGAGTGTGGAGGGTAGAGCCACTTGCCAGCTCAGGCAAGGCCAGGGCCAGGGCCAGGAAGACAGACAGAGGGGAGGGTGACAGGCAGGAGCCCTGCAGGGGAGGAGCTCCTTTGCTGTTCGGGGTGTTGCTCGCAGCTGGATGGCATGGGTCTGTGTGAGCAGCGCCAGGAGGCCAAGGGGCTGCCTGGCTGGATGAGGCTGCCCCGGTGTGAGTCAGCCAAAGCTCAAGTCCTAGTTGGCAAAGGCCACACAGTGGATGTGGCTGGCAGGCTGGGGGCTCTGGGATGCCCTCTACTCAGGCTGGGTCCGGTCACTGGCCACAGACTCGCTGGTGAGGGCAGGTGTAACGGCCTCAGCCTCATCCTCAGCAGGCAGCTGGGGCCCGGCTGGCTCAGCCGCCTGCTCCAGGCCGTCCTGCACCTCCATGCCCCTCTGGATGAGCTGTTCCAGAGTCTTGGGTAGGGGGTGTCTCAGAAAGCGCTTGAGCTTGGGCTGCAAGGTGCCCACCACATACTGGATGATCTCCTCCTCCTCAGCGTCCACATACAGAGTCTGGTACAGGTCCCGCTTGCGCCACAAGAACTGGTCCAGTGGCTCTCCCTGCTTCTGCGGCAGGTCTAGTTCACGCTGGATGGCCTCCCGGGATAGGGTGCCCTCGCTGTACTGCAGGAACTCTTTCTTGAACTCCACCCAGTTCTTCACGGAGCCCTGCTTGAACTCCCACCACTTCTTGGCTGGCCCATTCATGTGGTTCTGGATCTGGGACAGCCAGTACTCCTCAGAGCCACCCACCTGCCGCAAGTACTCCTCCAAGTGGCTCAGGAACTCTCGAGGGTCCTCAAAGATCTGAGTGTCCACTCCAGGGCTTGGCTGCCCATCCTCACCCGTCCCCCATGGTGGGTACTGCTGGGCCTCAGCTGGATCCTGTCCCGGCAGCTCGCCAGCTGCAGGCGGAGGGGTGATGGCATAGGGGCTGACCGTGTAGTCATAGCCGTCAGCCTCGTGGCAGTAGCTCTCAGGACCTCCGACACCCACTGAGACCGTGTGGCGGGCCGGCTCATTGCCCACCGGGTACTTGCCGCCCATGGACTCCAGGCGATCGGCCCACCTCTCCAGCCGGTAGAAGACTTCTCGCCACACGTGCATCTCGCGCTTCACCCAGCGCTCCAGGTTGGCGATGGTTTCCTGGCAGCGGCAGAGGCAGGCCTTGATAGACTTCTTCCAGCGCTGAGAGTCGCCCGTGGGCACGTAGCCGTCCAGGTTGTTCTCCAGCTTGCCCACTGACCTGTGCAGCCCCTTCAGCTCACGCTCCACCTGCTTGGACACCTCGGTGAGCAGGTGCCGGTGGGTCCTCCGCACATGCTCCAGCATCTCCGCCCGGCACTTACCGATCTGCAGGATCACATTAGGCTTGGCCGCCGGCGCACCCCGTGCCCCGGGATAGGCGTGGAGGCCGCCGCTCGTCATGTGGTCCAGCTCCATCTGCGCACAGGCACTGACACTCCGAACTGGCGGGAACGGCGGTGGCGCTCGGGACAGGCACAGCAGCCGGACGGTGGCTGATGCTGCAGTTGGATCAGCGGGAAGAGCAGCAGTCACCGCTCAGGGAGGACACTGCCGAGCTCTGCGCTGAGCCGCAGCCGCCGGCGCTTTATGAAGCCCGCGGCTGTGGGCGGCCGCTCCACGAGCGCCGGCTCCCATTGGCCGCCCGCGCCCCGCTCGCCGCAGGCCCCGCCTCCCACGCCCACTCGCGCCTCCGGGAGGCAGCGGAGCAAGCGAGGACCCGCCCCCTGCACACTCTGCAGGGCCAGGGTGACTAATGCTGCCGCGCCTCCCACCAGGCTGGCTCCTTCAGCCTAGAGGACCTCGCCACCGTCTGGCCAGCGAGGGCGGGCAAAGGCCGCCTGCGCCCCCTCCCCCTTGGTCTCAAGGTCTCTTTCCTAAAGGAGGGGTCCCGCTGAGCATTGCTCTTCTGGGTCCTTGCGGTCCTGCCTTCGCACCACCTGGCTTTATGAGGATAGACTCCTGCGAGGAGCCTTATCAGACCCCTGGCCTTCAGCTGGGGATCCAGGGAGTCGACACCCACAAATCTCCTCCCATCCCTGACCCCAGGGCCTGCGTCCAGCGTCTGGCCCGGCCTCTGTATCCGTGTGAGGAAAGAACACCCACCTGAGGCTCTGCCTGCGCCCTGGCATTGATGGTGTTGTGTAACACAGTGACTGGATGGGGCTGGACCGGCCCCACAGTGCCCCACAGCCAAGCTTTTGGTGAGCCCCCCCACCCTCCGCATTTCACTTAGAAATTGCTACTTGGGGACAAGGAGGGGGGTGTCTGAGGAGGTGCCGGTTCCTTTAGCCTAGGGAAGGGCGCTGGACCTGAGACCTCAGGTCACAGCCAGAGCCTGGCCAGAGGCTCTACAACTTCCAACAGGAACGGGGGGGGGGTCGGGGGAGAAAGAGGAAGGAGAGGGAGGAGGGAGTGGAGATGGGTGCTGGCAGCCGGGAGAGGCAGAGGAAAGCAAGATGCCATATAAGGAATGGGGCTCCGGAAGCTGAGATTCCCTAGGGAGGGAGGCCCCTTCCGCTTCCCTGGCAACTGGAGCCACAGAGGAGGGATGGGACACACTTCCAGAGTTACTCCAGTGCTGGCCTGGATGGAGGAGGCTGGGCCTGTCTTCGGATGTTACCTGGGAACAGGTGACACCATTGCCCACAGCAGAGGCCCAGACACTTGGTGACAGCGAGGACACCATATCCCTCGCCGCTGCTCCCTGGCATTCTCTCACACACAGCCACCCTGCACACTCATAGCCCCTCCAACACTTACTCCCTCCTCAGAGCCCTGCACACCCTACACACTCACACCCCCCACTCAGCCTACACAACTCATCCTCTCACTCAGAGCCCAGCCCACACTCACACCCCCCACTCCAATCCTGCATTCAGTCATCCCCCCACTCAGGGACTGGCACTTGCTCATCCCCCTGCCCAGGGACTGCACACACTCATCTCCCCCCACTCGGAGCCCTACATACACTCATTCCCCCACTCAGAGCCCTATATACTCTCATCTCCCCCACTCAGAGCCCTGCATACGCTCACAGCCCCCACTCAGAGCCCTACATGCTCTCGTCTCCCCCCACTCAGAGCCCTGCATACACTCACAGCCCCCACTCGGGGACTCGCACACACTCATCCTTGTACCTAGAACCCTACATCCACTCATCTCCCCACCCATGGACCAGTCGCATCCATCCCCTTACCTAGAGCCCTGCAAACACTCATCCCCCCACTCAGAGTCCTGCATACACACATACCTGAGCCCCCAATCCACCTTGTTCTCCTTCCCACTGGAATCCCCACACACCAGCCCCCCATTTCTCTTTACTCCCTCCCCCTTCCCCTGGGCTTCCTCTCCTGAGGGGAATGTCTTTCTGGGAAAAAAAAAAAAAAAAAACTCCCCCAAAATGGCTCTCCTGGCATTTCTAATTAAAGGTGAGTGGGCGAACAAAGAAGAGAGGGTGGAGGGGCTCCACTGGGAGGGGGAGCTAGGCAGAGAAACTGCAGAAATGGGAACCAACTGGCACCTTCCCTTCCCGTGGAGGAATCCCAGGGGCTGGAGGCTGCAGGGGCGTCAGAGCCCAGAGGCACCTGCACTTCGTCACCACAGGACCAGGGGCCAGAGACTCTGGCATTGGGCTGAGCAGGCAACTGGACAGTGGCTGTGACTGTGTCCATGCATGCAGGGCCAGGGGCCAGACCCTGATGTTTCACATGCTTAAAGGCCTAGGCCTTTGCCTGCAGTAGTCTCCAGCCTCTCCCAGCCCCACCCCAGGCAGCCCCCACTGACAACTTCCTAGAGTAAGAGGCTGGGGGTGTGAAGCTTGGTGATTGTGCTGCGGGGTGCTGCGCTGCCACACTGAGCCTGGAAGGCCAGCAGCAGCCCTTTGGGTGAGTAGACGGGGAGGGAGTTTCCAAGATTGGTCCAAGAGCAGCCTAGGGCTCAATGTAAAGCAGACCCTTGGTGAGGTGACGTAGTGTCCCCAGGACGCCATGGCCCCTCACCGCCTCTTCCTGTAGCTTGCTGCAACAGAGCTGGACACAGATGGCCCACCCAGGCTCAGCTGCCGGAGCATGCTCTGTACAGACTGGGGGGAGGCTGGTGTGGAGCGGGGGCAGGGCCCACAGAGCCTCCACTCCCTCCCTGCCGGGTCTGCAGAAGCTGTGAACATAGGGTCATGGTGACAGGTGACAGGCAACAGCTGCTGCTCTGGGAACACTTAATCGCTGCCCAATTATCACCCCAGAAGCCCTCAGCAAACCTTCGCATTGGAGGCTTGAGGCTCCTCCATTCTTCCGCCTCAGGGAAAGAGGCTGGGTTGGCTCCCTACTGCCCAGGAAGTGGGGGGAGGAGGGGAGGGCGCGGCTCTGATCAGAGGGGCCCTGGCTCCTCTAGCTGCCACCAGCCAGCTTCCTGACAAGAGGGACTGAGGCTGGGGAGGGGCTGCGGGCTGCGCCTGGGCAACAGGGGGCAGAGGCCTCATGCTCCCAGAGCCAAGCTGTGCTAACTGCCTTTTGAGGCACGGTGTGCCAGAGCAAGGGAGGCCCTGCAAGGGTAGGGGTAGGCCAGCGTGACCCCAGGGGGCTGTGCAGCCCTAAAGCCCTGCTCTCCATTCTGGCCTCAACCCCAGGGCTCCAAGCTTTGGGCCCCCAGGTTCTGATCGAAGGGTGCAATGACACCCCTTTCAGTCTGGGGTCACACTTCCTTAGGCACAATCTCTGGGACTCCTGGCCCCCCAGTGTCAGACCTCTCCAACCTCCCTGTCCTGATTTGTCCCTGGGGCCTTGAACTCTCTCCCCAGCTCCTGAAAGTGCTTGATAACAGGGGCATGCTGACAGGCTCGCGTGGCCTCCGGGATGCTCATGGACAGCCTAGACCTTCAGAGGTATTCAGGCTACCTACCTGGAAAGCCCAGGCCTCCATCCTGTCCCGAGCGTTTCCACTCCCCCAGAGCACATGGCCCCCTTGTGGTGGCTTCAGCCATCCCTGCCTGGCTCCAAGGACTGGACATGGTCTGGCTGGCACACCATTCTCTGTGCCACTGACTGCTAAGGTTTTCACAGGGTTGGCTGCCACCTGGGGACAAAGCTCTGGCCTACTAGTGCTCCCCCCACGCCCTAACTGCAGTAGGCTCCAAGCGGCTGAGGCTGAGCGCAGCTGCTCCAGGGTAGCGTTCACATCCTCTCCTGAATACCCATGCACACTCATGTGTATATGCACACACATAGGTGCATGCACACATACAGAGCACATCTGTGTGTACTCATACACATGCACACATGCATGCCAGTAAACACAAGCACACTGACCACCCACCACATTCTTCAGGTACCCGGTTGTCCCCGCTGGTCTGGGCTTTGGGGACCCTGTATCCCACCCCCCTTGAGCAAGAAGCTGGGTCAGCAGGGAAGATGACAGCAGTAGCCACCCTCTTGCTCCCATCCACCCTGGGCCCCACCACCTTGAGGGGTGAGATTTTCTGCCCCTTGCTCTGGCCGAACTGTAGGATCTTCTACCCAGCCTCACAGCCCTGCTGTTCCGCAGGGTCACCCTGGGCCACCTGGCCTCACTCCATCACCACACACTCCCTGGTGGGTTGGGGAAGACTGGGCTGGCCCTGAGCCCCCAGGCAGCCCACTCAAGCTCCTTGCCAAGGTCTCCCAGTGGGTAGCCTTCATCCACACCCTTATGCCTGGAGTCCTTTGCTGTCTAGCCTAGGAGGCCACAATCTGCTCTCAGCCCCCACTTCCAGCTGTCACCTTGCTGGCACAGGCAGGGCTTCCCAAGGTGCTTGGCAGGGGCCCTGAGGAACGGAGGGAGGAATATACCCTTCTGGGTTTCTCAGTAGAAAGACTAAGCCGCTGTTCACCGGAACCTCGCCTTTCCATCTGTAGAAGGGATGACAGTGCTGGGTCTGGGGGCTACAGGGAAGACTGAAGTCCCCCAGCTCCTCCTCCTGTGAGGCTCTCCTCACAGCACCATGTCTGGGACCAGAGGTAAGGAGGCAGGCCCACCCTGGACCCCTCAGGGGAGGATTCTGGGTACTTCCTCACTCTGCCACCCCTTTTGCCTTCAGAAGCTGAAGTGGGGCTGATGTGTGGGTGAGCTGCCTGGGAAGGGAGGATCCTATCCACCCTAGCTCTCCCACTGGCCCTTTAAGGATGACCTCCTGCCACCTCCACTGCTCACATCTGGCCAACATGCGGACAGGTGATGAGGGAGGCAGAAACCCGGAGCTGGGGGGTGAGGCTCCCAGGCTCCATGGAAGGCCATACTGGGACTAGGGAGGGAGAAGACCGAAAGAGGAGGCAAAGGACTGGGGAGGGGAACTGGGGAGAAACCAGAGCACAGCTGTTCCTTTGAAACTTCTCACAAAGGCATCTTCACCCCCAGGCAGAGGTCCTGAGAGGTGGGCACAGCTGCCCTCCACCCCGCTGAGCTGGAGAGTGGCAAGCTGGGAGGGGAGGAGAACTGGGGCCTCAGGTGACTGAGGCTGTTTCCTCTCCAGACACCCCCTCTGAGCTGCAGGAACATTTTCTCTCTGCCCCCCTTCCTTCCTTCCTTTCTTCCTCTTCCGTCTGGCAGGCTGTGTACTGTATCCTGGTCCCTGGAACAGGCAGCCTGTGCCTTCCGGGGCCCCCACACACCAGACCCTCCTCCCTCCTCCCTCCTCCCTCCTCCTTCCTGCCTCCTGCTTCAGCTCCTCCAGTCCAGCCCCTAAGGGTGCTCAGTATTTTTCCATAGATCCGGCATCACCCTGCTACTCCTTGTGCCCAGGAGTCCCTTTGGGTCTCAGAGACTCAGACCTTTGCCCCCCTGGCCTCCAAAAGGGCACAGGGTGCAAAAGCCCACCCACAAGCAATGCCTCTGTCTCATGACCACCATCCTCATACATTATTCAGAAGAGAAATTGAGGCCACACATCAGGGGCGACCAGGGCAAGGAAGGCCAGAGCCCTGAGGTGAGGGGTACTGTGAGGAAGACCTCCAGGTTCTCAGAGACATGCCATGGACATGACCTGCCCTATGCCATTTGCGGCAAAATCCCTCAGTCCCCATAGCTTCCCTGGCCTCAGTTTCCCCCAGAGGCCCTTGCCTGCTATCAGTGGAGCCATGGCCCCGCTGCAGTGTCAGCACCAGCAGTTGGCTGCAGCCCAGACTTGGAATTCTCTGAAGGACACCAGCAGGCATCTCAGGGGACTCTTGTGAGGGAGCAACTCAGCTGCCCTGCCAGCCTGGGTGCGCACTGTGGTATGGTGTAGAGCGCATGTACTGGGAGACAGCTGCGAGGCGGAAGCACCAGATGGCACTGGGCCAGGGAGGTTGTCCTGGGTGCCCCTCGGCAGAGCCTGCCCCAGGCTTGGCTGAGCAGCAGAGCCCACTGAACAGGATCAAAGGCCTCCTGTCCCTGTTCTCCTTCAGGCCTCATGCACACACCAGCCCCAGGCCCTTTCCCACCTCACACAGAGATCAGACTGCACTAAAGGGCCACTCTTGTCTGTGTGGACTGAGTAGGGGAGGGGAAGAAGAGGACTCGGGGCCAGGAGCTTTCCTCCACCCAGAATGCCCGCCCAGCCTCCTGCTCACCACCCCTTGTTCAGTGGACAAACCCCAACTCCATGTCAGAGCACAAGCAGCCTAACTTAATGTAGTTGTGCGTGCCTGTGATCTCAGCTGCTTGGGAGGCCGAGGCAGGACGATGGCCAGTGTGAGTCCAGCTTGGGCAACTTAGTAAGACCCTGCCTCAGAATAAAAAGCAAAACTAAAGGGCTGGGGATGGAGCCCAGTGCAAAAGCTCTAGGTTCAATCCTCAGTAAACACACACACACACACACACACACACACACACACACACACACACAGCCTGAGCCAGGGTCTACACTGCCAGAAAGGCTTCTGGGCTTTCTGGGCCTTGCACTCCCTCTGCGCACTCCCACTGCTGCCAGCAGCCAGCCCTGGCCTTGCTCTGAGCACATGGAGCCTGCTTCACTCCCCTCAGGATCTCTGCTGGTGAGGTGTGCTGAGGTCAGCTGCCCAGAGGTGAGGAAGGACGCCTGGGTGAAGTGGGCAGCGGCAAGTGGCCCAGGGGGCAGCAGGGAGCCGTCCAGAAGCTGGAGCACCCGAGTGCAGTGAGAAGGTCACAGGAGGGCCTGAAGCCTGGTGCTGCCAGGACTACTGCTGGGAGGCCGTGGGGACGGGGAGAGACAGGCTGGTGGAGACTGCTTCTGAGCCAGCAGCCCGACAGTGCTCTGAGAGGGTCAGGAATGAGGGTCTCCAGGAGCCCAGCAGAGGACTTTCTCAGGGGTGAGGAAGGCTTGCAGAAACTTCTGGGGCTGGGTGGCAGTAGGAGCAGGGGGGCTGCTCCCCATCTGTGGCCCCCAGGGCCCCGAGCCAGGTCAAGTGCCCACCCCACTGCCTCCCTGAAAGCCCACCCACCCTGAATCGTGCTGCTGGGTAGCCTGCTCCGCCATCAGGTCAGGACTGAGTTTTCACTACCAGCTGGCCCCTGCAGACGCCCTCAGGGGGTGGGTGTCGGTGTTCAGAACTTGTGCCAGGGAGGGGGCAGTGTCCAGGACAGCCTGCCACCCCCGCCATGTGGCTGTGCTTTCCTGCTGTTCTCTGTATTTCCATTTAAATGCCTCCCCTGAGCCAGCCCAGCTCTGCCGCTCACTTCCGGCACCATAAAAGGAGAAAGGCTGAGAATAGCTGTGTGGTGACGCTGCTAGGAGCTTCCCCACGCAGGCAGGCTCTGAGCCGCCACTGCCACCGCCACCAGCCTGCGCTGTCCCCCAGCACTGCCCCGAAGGGACCCCTACCTGGCCAAGGCCCCACCGGAAATAGCCAGAGGCCTGGCCTGGGAGGCCAGAGGTCAGGGCAAGGGACCCCTCCACCCCCGCCATTAGCAGCTATGTGACCTACTAGGATGGGTCTCTGTGCTCCCTGGACATTGGGATCCCATACACTGCACTCCAGGTGGGGCCTAGAAGGATTTGTGCACCCACAGGAGGGGCAGGCTGGCCCAGCTCAACCCAGTCCCAGCTCTTCTGCCCTGCATATCCCCAGGGACCCTGCCCAGGCTCAGGGACCTGTGGTCTGTCCTGGGCACACAGCAAGAACTGCACGATGGGGACAGTGTGGCTTCTAAACTCTTCACCTTGACCACCTCATGGTGCCATCACGGGGATACATGGAGTCCTAGAGGGGCCAGGGTTTGGAGAGAGCCTTGCTATGGGAAGGACCCACACGAGCTCCCCACGGGGAAGTCAGAGCCCTGCCGTATCCCTAGAGGCCTTCAGCTCTGGCCACCTTTATCTGGCTGGGCACCACACCTCCCTGGAGCTAGCATGTGTACCTCCACCTTTCACAGCTGCCTTCCTCTCCTCTTCCTGGGCCAGCTCCCCATGCCCACAGGCCACCTGGGCTGAGACCTCAGGCCAAGTCCCCTCTCCTGGCCCCCGTGACCTGAACAGCTGCAGGCACTGGGCACACCAGGCTGGCTTCCCACCTCTTCCAAATGTCTGCACATGGGCCGCTCTGTGTCTATCATGGGTTTTCCAGGCACCAGGCATGAGTCAAGATCTGAGCCTCACCAGAAGGTGTCAATAGGTCCAGAACCTCCTCTTCTTCACTCTCCACTTGGTGTCTCCCCAACACCAGCAGGAGTACCTTAATAAATGTGGTCCCAGGGGGCACTATCCACTCACTGTGAGGCTCAGCAGAGGGGTGCGCTCTGCTCCCCACCCTCACACACTGAACCAGAGCCTCCAGCTTAAGTTGCCAGGTTCCTGCTGCAGGGCTATGTGAGGTGGATGTGGTGGATTAACTAACAGGCAGTTTGTAACTCCCAGATGCACTAAACTGGCCTGGTACTGGCTGCAGAAGGCCTGTCTGAGGATTGTCGCCGGCAGCATAAAAGGAGAAGTGGAGGCGAAGATGGTGCTGTGGGTTCTACTGGAGCAGCTTGTCGCGCTGGCTCTCCTGATCTGCACTCAGCTGTTCTCATCTTCGGAGGAACTTGGGTCCTCACTGTCGCTGGGGATGGCATGGTTCTTTCCGGGGAAGCTCTGGGCCTTCCCTTGAGCATCGCTTCCCAGCTCCCGTGCAGATCCCCAGCCTGCTGGCACAGATCCTTCATCCTGCAGGCGCAGACTTTCTAGCTCCCACCACTGACCTTGGGCCTTCCCAGTGCAGGTCCTGGACACAGACTTGCATGAGACATCGTCATGGGCTCCAGGCCTCCAGCTGGACTCGTGCAGGACACTGCCGAGGAATCCAGGCCTCAGCTGGATTCTTTGGGCCTCTAGTACATGAGCAGATCTCCTATACTCTTCTGCATTTGATGTTTTAGGTGAATATTATAAAATAAAACTATAAACTTAAATTATTTAGTTTATTTAAATTTGTAAAACCTGACTACATCAGTGGGTGACCTGGGTGCTCACAGAGGACCCTGGGCTTAGAGTGGCCTTTGCTAGCCATGGTAATGTGCTGTGCAATTCTTACTGATTTCTTGAACCAAAGGCTTGAGTTTTCATTTTGTACTATGACTGGTTCTACCTGCCAAGGCCCCCTTCCTAGTTCCAGGGCAGGTAAGACCCCACTGTTCTCGGATATTTCTGGAAAAAGAAATGAAACAGGAATCCCTGGGGACTCCTGTGTGCTGAATATCTCACTGAGCCCCAGAAAATTTGGAGAGGGAGATCACTGTCACCCCACTTTACAAATGGGAAAACTGAGGTATAGAAAAGTGAGAAGGTTGAGTTTGAGCTAACACTGGAGCTTCTGGCTCTGAGGTTGCATCCTCAAATACTTGCTTGCTGTTCTCTAACTCCCAAGACCCAGTGGGGCTGTGGTTTCTTCCGCACAGTGAGGGGACCACTGGCATCAGGAAGCCCGGGGCTCTGCAGTGGTAGGACCCGGGCTTGAATGCCTCCTACGTGGTCCAAGAGCTTCTAGAACTTGGGGGCCTGGAGAGTTGTGGCAGGCTGAGAGCTGGGCAGAGCTGGGGCAGTGGTGGGATGAGAGGGCCCACGGAGCACAAGCACCCATCACTGTACTGCCCGCCTTCCCCAGAGCAGTGAGAGCTTTCTGGGAGCCCCAGGTGGGAGGGCAGGGAAGGTCGGGGTAGGTTCGGCACCTACCTAGGCCCCGGGCCTTCTCTGACCATCTCTCATCAGAGTTCTGATGGCCCCTGCCCAAGTTTACAGCTCTCCTAGAACCCCAGGGCCCATTTGCTGTCTGCAGGCAGGGCTGGCATATGCTAGCAAGGGGCTTATCTTCCTCTAGTTGGGGATACTTTGATACAAGGTCCAGGCAGAGCCAAAGGATTTGGAAAAACCTCTGAGCAGAGGCCAGAAATCCCCAGATGCCTTCGCTCTGGAAGGTCAGGTCTCAGGCCTAGGGGGGAGCCTTGGAGGCCAGCAGAGAGAAAGAGCCCAGTAGGCTGCTCAGGCAGAATGGGTGATGCAGCCCTCGGGCACAAGCACTGCTGCTCTTTGTGAGTGGAGTAGGCAGACCCTGAGCCCTCGACCTTCCTCTGTTTACCCACTTCCAACCTCAGGACTCCACTGAGGCCACATAGGCCAGAAGAGGAGGACAGCCCACAGCCAGTGCATCTTCGTCAGCTGTGATTTGTGCCCCTCCCAGTTCTAAGACTATTCCCCTCTGGATGCCCCTCATCCACCAGCAAGAGGAGGAAGTGGAAGATGGCGCCTCGATTTATGGCCAGGCCACCTCACAACAGGAAACCTCCCAGGGAACCGAGGGATCGCTCCATTTTTCTAAATGAAAATAGGATACCATCTCAGAAGCCCTAGAAAATCTATCTCCACCACACGCAGAGGCCAGTAAGAGAGTATCCCAACCTTCCCAGTAGACCTATGGGCTCCAGGTGTTGTGGGGGACAGCAGTGGCTCACACAGATGCCATTCTCAACAAGAGATGGCTGCCCTAAGATCCACCGCTCTTTCGTAGACAGGTGTGCCCTGGTTTGGGAATGTCTCGCTTGCAAGTAACTCCAGTCGCTGTCATTACACCTCTCTCGGCTCACTGCCACAATCATCTCCATGAACACCACCACAAATACCACCACAAATACCACCACACCATGGCAGCACTAATCGTCATCAGTGTGGCCACTGTTACCATGACAACTCCTGATGGTAGGCTCCCCTCCCAACTCTACAACCATGAAAACCACCAGCTCACCTGTACTGTCTCTTCTCCCTCCACAACCATCCCAGCATGAGCCCTGCACAGGTCCAATCCAAGGTCATCATGCCAGCACCAGAACCAGCACCAGCACCTCGCCTTCATCCGGGCACCATCACTCATCCACAAACATCCCCATCAGGATGACTGCCATGACTTTCTCTATCAACACCACAACAATCACTATCACATCCCGGCCATTTCCCTCAACCCCATCAGTACCCCTTCTATGCTCAATCTCTCTGCCATGGTCTCTACCAGTCCTATAACCAACAGTAGAAGCACCACTTTACTCCCACCAACTTAAGTTACCAACACACTCAGAGTTGGGAACCACCATCACCACTACCACCATGACTTGTGTCTTCAACACCACCTCACCAGTCACCTCTCATTGTCATCACCATCATGCCCATGACCACCCCCAACATCATTTACCATCACCAGCAACACTCACTTGCTGCCACCAACACCCGTCATTTCCACCATCAACACCATCAGTGTTATCACCACTTCACAGTACTGCCACCTCCCTTTTACTGCCACCATGTTTATTATCCACATGATCATTTCTGGGTTGCTTCCTGGCTGGCAAGAACTTGTGCTAAGGAAGAGTAAGGGTTTGGAGGGAGACAGGCATAACTGGCTACGCATCCTTGGGCAAAGATTTGCACTCACTTTCTTAACTGATGGGATACAGAAGGTATTCCAACTGAGGCCTTGCTTCCTGTTGTATGATAACCCTGAAAGTGACATCTAGGTCACCTGGCTTGCAGGGGCTGTGGGTCTGGCTCTCTGACCACACAGACCCCGCTCCTCCTTTCAGGCACAGGGCAGCCACCTGGGAGAATGTGATTGTGGAGAAGAGGATGTTCTGTCTCCAGATCTCCAGAAGCTTCTACTTGGGATCAGGGATCCCAAAAGGTAGCCACAGCTACCAAGAAGCTCCTGGACTCAAGGCTGAGCATGGAGGATGTTTTTGCTTTGGAGGAACTTTGAAGCTCACCCTGTGGGGGCACGGCGGCTGGTCCCTGTTTCCACATGTGAGCTGAAAGGACAGTTCATCACTAAGGAAGACGCTTCTCTTGCTGAGAGTACCAGAAGTAAGGGGGGTCTGATGAATTTTAAAGCCTTTCCTCAAATACCCATTTTGTGTTCTGACGTCTGACCTTCAATCTTCTCCATGTGTAGCTCCCCAACAATAAAGAACCTGCCAGCACTTGCAGTAATCATAACTAGGATGACAATAGCGCCCACCCTGCAGAGGGTGGGAAGGATTAAAGCAGCAGTGCCTGGCACATAAAGTTCTTGCTACATGTTAGCTGCCTCCGCTGTTATTACAGCGATTATCCTGGAAGGTGGCCTGCACTGGTCCTGGGCTGGGCTTCTGTCAAGAGAGCTCTAGGTCATCAAGCTGTCCCCAGCCTGAGGCAGGCCTGTGGCAGACTGACAGGAGAGCCCAGGGGTGAGGAGGGTCACTTCAAGGGAGCAACGAGCCACCCCCTTTTGCCTACCGCTGCTTCTGCCCACTGAGTGGTGGCCTCAGGGCCCCATGTGTAGGACATCCTGACTCCAAGAGACATAACCCGCCCTGGGCTCTGGCACATGTTGGCACCCCCAAGCCCTCATGGCATGAGGTCCTTGTCTATCCTTCCTGAGTGAAGAGCAAGAGAAATGCTCACTGAGGGTGGTAGATGGCTTTATGGCTTCATTCAGAAGCCAGTGTGGCTGTCACTGTACCCACCTTCCTCCTCCAGTGGCCATAACAGCCACTGCCCCTGCCCAGGATGCTTTGCCTGTGCCCAGAGCCATGGAGCCTGAGTCTGAGACTTCAGCCTCTGGGCTGGATGGCAAGGGATCCTGGGATGCCAGGGACAGTGGGTGGGTGGCAGCAGCTCAGCCTCGTGAAAGCCACACTTGTCAAGCCTCCCAAGGACAACACATTTGTGTCCTTTCTTCTAATTAAAAAGAATTAGTCAGCAGAATGACACGTTTACAGGGAGAGCCAAGCGACATCGCTGCCCTGCTTTATGAATAAAATAAGAGGGGGACAGATTTCCACACTGCTGGAGATTGTGCAGATTCTCACGCTTTAGGCCTAATGGCTTGGCAGCCCAAGCTACCTCTTAAATGGACTAAGTGGGCTTTTCTCCTGGCTCTCTCTCCTCTCCTTCCCTCCCACCTTCCTTTGTCTATCTTTCACAGACCTCCTGCTTTCCTCCTCCATTCCAGGGGAGGCTGAAAGATAGGGGCCTTCAGGGAGGCCACAAAACCAGGCCTGGTACCCAGAGTGGGTGACAACCCAGCCAAAGGAGTCTGCCGCATAAGCAGGGCTGGCCTCAGGTCCCTGGAGAAGAACCAGCTCTGGACTTGGTTTGGCCACTTCCCCTCCTCTGACCTCAGCTGACTTCAACAGTGATGGGAACATTAAGCCGCGATGTCTGCTGCTTTGACACCACCTGCCCAGGGCACAGTTTGAAGGCAAGAGGGACTTGCAAGACAAGGGGAAACCTTGGCCCCACTGGCCTGCAGAGGGGTCACAGCACACTCCTCCCCCAGGACAGACAGGAGGCCAAGGGTGAGGGGACAGCAGCATTCAGGGGCACCCCAGCCTGTCACCTTTGTCTCTCTGGGCAGAGAGGGAGAGGCCATGTCACAGCCTCCCTGGGGGACATCCTTCAAGAGACCCAAAGGATTTCCCCTACCAGCCCACGTGACACAAAGGCTTGGAGGGAGGTAGGACTTGGATCAATGGACCTAGGGAAGGATGATTTAAGGGCAGGGGCAGGTGGCAGAGCCAGTGCTGGTAAGAATTCCCAGCTCCTTGGTGCCTTCAAGCCTGACAGACACAACCACCACTGCATCTTTACCCATGACATCCACCCTCATCACTCTTGC